TTTGTTTCCTTGATCCTTTGTGTTGTTTTTTTTTTTTACTAGTTTTTCATTCTGTTCAACTCTGATTTTTATTGTTTTACCATCTACTGCTTTGCAGTTTATTTCTGCTTATTCTTTTTGACCATGCTCATCAACATGAGGGTGTTTTCTTAATGGACATATCTCTGATTTCTTTGATGTAGGAATTTTGGTTCCAGTCTCTGCTCCTAGACCTGCTTTTAATTTTTAAGATCTAGCTTTGTGAGTTTGTCTTACGACGCAAATTCTCAAGCACGCCACAAGCAGAAGTGAGGAGGCAACAATGGAGCCATACCCGAAGACCAGCTCCTCTGAAGAGGATATCTTCACGGATCATTACCTGATCCTCAAGACCCTTGGCCAAGGCAGCTTTGCTGAGGTCAAACTGGCCCTCCACCGCCACACAGCGGTGCCGGTTGCTGTCAAGTTCCTGGAGAAGGATGAGGACAATGCCTTCGAGGTCATGTCTGAAGTAGGTATCGTTAAGGCATTGGATCACCCAAACATTATCAAACTCTTCCACGTCATCAAAACTAGAAAACAGAGCTATTTGGTGATGGAACATGCTGATGGGGGAGATCTGGCAGACTATTTGGAGAAGGTGGGCCATCTACAAGCGGAGGAAGCCCGCTGAGGAAGCCCGCCCCATCCTAACACAGATGGCATGTGCAGTTAACTACTGGCCATGAGAACGGCATTGCACACAGGGATATTAAAGTAGAAAACATACTGTTGGATGACAAAGGACACATCAAACAGTGTGACTTTGGCCTGGCCGTAAAAGTCACGGCAGGCCAGAAGTTTAAAGGCTCCAACAGACCAGCCTGAAATCCTGGCTCGGATCCAGGGACCCAGGCCGGCTCACGCCCAGTCTGCTCCATCCCTGTCCCCCTCGTCCAGTCCCGCGATTCCACTACGCAACCGCCTAAGCTGCTGCTTCTGCCGCTGCTGCACGTTCCGGAGGGACCCCGCCACCACTGCCGAATGTTCCGGAGGGCTGCCGTGGCCGCCGCTCGACGTTCCTGAGGGTGGCCACCACAGCCGCACAGTCTTGAGGGCCTCTGCCGCCACACGGTCCGGAGGGCCACAGCCACCGCCGCACGTTCCGGACGGCTGCCGTCGCCACCACCGCCACTGCTACCGAAGTTCCAGAGGGCTGTGGCCACCATCACACAGCATTACGGAGTGTGTCTGCTGCCGCCGCCGCACTTTCCTGAGGGCTGCTGTCGCCGCTGCCGCCACCACTGGCGCAAGTTCCCGAAGGCCGCTGCTGTGGCCGCCCCACGTTCCAGAGGGCTGCCGATGCAGCTACCCATTCCTGATTGCCACCGGCACCTCCGCCACCACACGTTTCGGAGGACCGCCACCATCGCACATTCTGGACAGTTCGGGAAGTGCAGCTGAGGTTGGCCAATCGTCCGGCTGCTGCCAAACAACATGCTAGACGACGGGAGAGAGCAGCAAACAGCCCAGCTTGCCGCCTTGCTGTCCCTGTGGCTCCTGAGGTAAGTGTCGGGCCAGGTGGGGGTGGGAGCTCAGGCGCGGCTGCGGGCCTGGATCTCGAGGACTCCTCTATCCTTCCCCGGGGAACCTGGGCCTCTGAACCCAGGACAGGGCTTCTGGGCAGCGGCCTGACTGGGGTTTGTGGGGTGGGGAGCAGCAGCTTAGGCGGTTGCATAGTGGGAACGCGGGCCTCGGCAAGGGGAAGGGTGATGGAGCAGAGTGGGTGTGAGCCGGTCTGGGTCTGTGGCTCCGAGGGAGGATTTCAGGCCGGTCTGTTGGAGGCGGCTGCACCGAGTTGGCATAGACGGGGAGAGGGGGCTAGAGCGGAGGGCTTGGCGGGGGAGTGGTGTGTGTGTGAAGAAGTCAGAGAAAATAAGTTCCTGATCGCTAGGCATCAACTCATACCAAGTGGGGAGGGGTGACCTCCACCCAATCTAGGGAAGGAGGCACAGCACAGCCCCCCTCCCCTCCCCCTCTGGGAGGTGCCAGTGCCTCCGCCTCATCCCTATCCCTCCCTGTCACCCCAAGTCGGCCCTTGGCCACCGAGTCCCACCGCCGCTCCACATTCCAGAAGGTGGCCACTGCCGCCGCATCTTCTGGAGGGCTGCTGCCCAATCAGGAGAGTCCATCTCGCCAGGCCAGTCTGATTGGCTGAGTTCTAGGTGTATGGCCAATCAGGTCAGAGAGTAATTAAAGCACAAAGCTCTGGGAGGGGTCTGTGACAGTTGGTGCCTGACTGGTGAGGGTGAATGCTGTGCTTTCGCTTTCTCTGCGAGGACGCCAGCATTTTGGACTGTGCATGCAGAGGCAGTACGAAACTTCACGGTTTTGGAAGAGGATCTTCCTGGACTACTCTTCCAATACCCGGTACAGATTTGTTTGCCACCACCTGCCATGCCCCTGGTTCTCATGCTCCTTCCCCCTGCTGTTTGTTTTTCAAAGCTACTTTAATTGGGTTTTCTGTCAGTGGCCCTTTTTCTTACGGTCTGGAGAACTTGAGGCCTGTGAGTCTGGATTTTGAACAACCCAGGGCCCTTGCACCAGACTCCTCAGTGATATTTGTTAGCTCCTCAGTGATATTTGTTAATTTGTGCTTCCTTTTATTTCCTTAGATCGAGTAAGGTTCGAGTGGGGCCCCCTTCATGTTCGTTCAGGCTCCCCCAAACCTCCAGATTCTGTGTGCGAGAGAAAACAGGTGATGTGTGCTTTGTGTGACTGGCTTGTTACACGTAACACAATCTCCCGTTCATTCTATTTTCCAAAAAATGATAAAATTCCCTGTTAGGGTGTGTAATAGTGGGCCTGGGCTCTCGTCATAGGCTTCATTATTTATTAATTTGAATATTTTAGACTATCTCTGCATTCTTTTATAAACACATCCTCAGTATGAAATCCTTAAAACAATTTTTTTATTATTTCTCCAAAGAGAGGCAATTTTAAACATATTTTTCCAGAAATAACTTGAAGCAGGTGACATAAATGTATATATACAACAAAGTTTAAGGGGGAGAAAGAGAAATAAGAAATCAACTCCCAATGAGTTCATTGGACTTGCTAACAGAGCATAGGATGGGGCTTTATTTGAAGAAGTGTGGCTGCTGCCCCACTCCCCCCCGTTTACGGCTACAATGGAAAGTCCAGACTCAAGTATAGATCCTTTGACTTCCCAACAGCTGCACAAAATGAGGAGAGAGGTGCCGCATGGCATTTTTTGGTTTATAGATCCTTAGCCCCTCCCCCACATGCAGCTAACGTCAACTGATTGGATAGGAGGGGTAACTGACTCCCTCCACAACTCCTTCATGAGTGTGGGAAGGAGGTGTGACTATAACTTGCCAGCATAGTGTCGGAGAACACTTCCAGTCAATACTCCACCCCTTCATCTGGCTCTTACTGTTCTTTTCACCAACGTGTTCCACCAAAGTCCCTGAGCCTTGGAGGGGGTGATAGGTGTGGGATGATCCTCCTCCCATTGTGGCAAGGCACTGGACTTTTGTGTCTCTGCATCATCTGTTTTCCCTGGGCTGTTGGCCCATTTCAGTGGGATTCCATTCATAAGGATTTGGTGCTAGGATCCACAAGTGAGGCAAAACGTACAATTTTTTTTTTCTGAGTCTGTCTCCTCTTAGTATAACAGTTTCTGGATCGGTTAAAAGACAGAGTTTGTAAAGAATCATCAACACCACTTTAAGAAAAGTAGCAAGGGAAATTTTAATTTTCGACCGGCCGGACTGTCTATCTCGGGAGTAGGGGGAGCCCTGATGATTGTTAAGTCAGAGTTTTTATAGGATTACAGAATTATTGTTAAAACAGGACATTTGTGAACCAATCAGGTTTGTACAATATAGCAGAATTTTGATTCTATTAATTAACAACCAATCATTGTACAGACAAGTGATGCAATCATATAACTTGGCACTCCACTTGGTAACATTAAAAACTAGTCAACTGTTTCAGTCATAACAAGTGAAATAAGACAGTCAAGGTAAATAACTTCTAGGTGGTCATCCAATTACACAATAACAAGGGAGGTCTTATTCCCTGTGTCAGGGCGACCCAAGACAGCAAGCAGGTTGCAGAATTGAAAACAAGCTGGTTAGCAAAAATATAATGTCTGGAATTAGCACATTCCATGATTCATGGCGAGGACAATTTTCCAAGGCCCAAGGTTGCCCCCCTTTTCCTTCTGGTGTGGAGCAAAGTTGCTGCTGAAATGGCTCTGAACAAAATGGAGTAACTTAGGGAAGTTTTGCTGAGCCAGTTCAGGATCCATCCATTTACCTGCAAATTTCATTATTTCATCTTTCTTTACTGCTGAGTAGAACTCCATTGTGTAAATGTACCACATTTTCGTTAATCACTGGTCAGGTGAGGAGCACTTAGGTTGGTTCCATCTCTTAGCTACTGTCAAAAGAGCAGCAACAAGCATGGTTGCACAAGTGTCTCTGCAATAGGATGAGTCCTTTGGGTATATGCCAAGGAGTGGTATAGCTGGGTAATATGGTAGGTTTGTTTGTTTGGTGTTTTTGAGACAGGGTCTCACTGTAGTGTGGGCTGGCCTGGAACTCACTATGTAGACCAGGCTGGCCTTGAACTCACAAAGATCCACAGGCCTCTGCCTCCCAAGTGCTGGGATTAAAGGCGTGCCCCACCATGGCCGGCAGTAGGTTTATTTTTAAGAGTTCTCCACTCTGCTTTCCATAGGGATTGGACGAGTTTGCAATCCCATCAGCAGTGAATGTTCCCCTTTCTCCACATCCTCGACAGCACTTGGAATCATTTGTTCTCTTGATCTTAGCCAGTCTGACTGGGGTTAAATAAAATCTCTAAGGTGGTTTTAATTTGCATTTCCCTAATTACTAACAATGTTGAACACGTTTTAAGATGTTTCTTAGCATCTTTATTTCTTCCTTAGAGAACTCTCTGTTTAGATCTTTAGCCCATCTTTTCATTGGGTCATGTGTTTTCTTGATTGTTTTCTGAGTTCTTTATATATTCAGGATGTTGAACTTCTGTCAGATGTGTCACTGGTGGAGATTTTTTCCCACTCTATGGGTTTTCTCTTCACTTTCTTGATTGTTTCTTTTGCTGTACAGAAGCTTTTTAGTTTAATAAGGTTA